ACACACACACACACACACACAGAGAGAGAGAGAGAGAGAGAGAGAGAGAGAGAGAGAGAGAGAGAGAGAGAGAGAGAGAGAGAGAGAGAGACCTCAAACTCACTACCCCGCCCCCAAAACGACGATGATGATGATGACCAAGTGTAGTATCTGTTCTGATCAGTGTGATTTCTGACCGGTGGACCATCGAGAGTTCTTTTAAAAAAAAAAACACACGGGAAAACGACGCGAGCAACAGAGAGAGAGAGAGAGAGAGAGAGAGACACCCCAACCTAACTAATTACCCTGCCCCCCAAAACGACGACGACGACGATCAGTAGTAGTATCTGTTCAGATTAGTTTGATATCTTACCCATGGACCATCGGGAGTTCTTTCAAAAAAAACATTTTTTACGGAAATCGGGAGTTCTTTAAAAAAGAAAAACACACGGGAAAACAACGCGCGCACCAGAGAGAGTGTTACATGCTGCGCGTGCACACGCAGGCCATTTTGCAGGCCTGCGTCCTTCAGGCCAAAAGCCTGAACTTCAGGCCGAAAGCCTGAAATCCAGGGCTTACAGGCCCCATGTCGGTTCAGCCCGAAAGCCTGAACTCCAGGGCCTATCCCTGTGTCGTTTCAGACTAAAAATGGCTACAGCCTTTTTAGCCTGAACGACCGGCCCTGAAACTCAGGCACCGAACCAGGGTTTCGGGAACAGACTATTATTAGTCTGTTTCCCACGCCAGCCTCAGCAGGCTGCTGCACGCCAGCCCCTGGCACACTTCGGCATTGGCAAGAGCTGCCTCCTCGGCCTGACTCGCCCTCCAGTAATCAGGAGGTAGTACATAGGACTTCCCAGGCACTTCTGAGGTAGGCAGTCGGCAGTTGTAGTCTTCAGGATTCGGGAGCAGCACTCTGGAGGGTACGCTGCAGTGTAGTAGCAAGAGCGTTAGCTTGTAGTCTTCAGCGCTGGGCGCAGTAGGTAGCTGTAGTCTCCAGCGCTGGGCACCATAGCTAGGTAGTACTAGAGAGAGAGAGAGAGCTTGGGCGGAGGCCAGAGGTACCTACCTGCAGCGCCGTTGCTCCAGCTTCGTCTTCGAGGTACCTGCAGCACAGCGCCAACATCACAGGTTAGTATCTGGTTCATAACAGTGAGAGAGAGAGAGAGTTCTCCTTCTTCCTCTTCTCAGTCCACCATCTTCTTCTCTCCCTCTCAACTTCTGACTTCCCTGCATCTGCAGACTACGAGAGAAGAGAGACAGAGCTTGGTGACATTCGGATCCAGACTCGACTTTGGGACTTCAGACATGGCAACGAGGGATTATTTGGGATTGGTTTGACAAAGGCTTGGTGTTGACGACATTCCCATCTCTCTCCCTCCTTTCGTCTGATCCCTTCCTCTTCGTCTGTGTATGTCTGGAC